AAAGTTGAGCCTTCTAAAAGTCAGATGTTTGATCTAACCAGTTTAAGACCAGATTTAGTCCATGATGCGACCCAGCGGGTGTTGTCCCACCTGGGCAGACTGGAGGCTCAACCCACGGTCCAGGACCCAACTCGCACACCTTCCCACCGGGAAATACATTGGCAGGAAAGGGTGTGTGAAAATGAGAGTCCTTGTGACACCTTTCACAAGTATTTCAGCCTCCATCTGTGCAGACGGGAAATGCGTTTCCTGCTCTTGGGTACTTCTACATCCACAGAAGTTTGTTTCTTTTTTACTCCCAATCTGCAAGGACCACAGTATTTTTTGCAAAAACCTGAGTATACGACGTGACCACAGTCAAGGCCACTTAAACTTACATCAGTTGTGACATTTCGTGTCAGGCAGAGTTTGAAGTATTTCACCTGGCACAGAGCTGTCTGGTCTAGAAAACGGTAGTTTATTCACTGCCTCATCTTGTTGTCTTTAGACAGGTATTGTGAGTTTTGAGGAGAGAGACCATCCTAACTAACAAGCCAGTTTTTCTTACATTCTTTTTGAAATACTGGCCTTTGAAGGGTCTTTATTTCCCTGATGTCTGTACCAAGGCTGGTTTTCAGAGAGGAGAACAACTCATTTCTGATGAATACTCCCTCTGACCCGGAGGTGGATGATCTGTAATCCAAACGAGCACCTGCCATTTCTGGGAGAAGATCCAGCTCTGCTGAGCCGGTCCTGTCATCGCACAGTGCATGGGCAGGGTCTTGTCAGACTTTCTGTGAATATGAACCACCAATTACTTGAGCTGTTTTTTCCTAGGGCTTCCAGCACACACATTTTGTGTATCCACCAGCACTTCATTTCAAAACCCGAGTGCAATCTCTCTTACCCCCTTTTCGTCAGGACAGCCCAATGCCAAGGCTTTGCAAGAAGCAGGGGGATGTTGTTGGGGTCCTGTCTTGGTCAAGTAGGCAAAGGATATTTTTTTTTTCCTTCACAGCTGGTATTGGTGAATTAGGAAGAAAGATACCCAAAAAGCTAAGCCTACAGACGGATGATAAGCACTTCGCAGAGAGCTGATCCAGCTGCTAGAGCCTTGCATACAGTTTTCAGGCTCTCTCTAAATAGTCTTTGATGAAATAGAGTTTTTACAAATAGAAGATAAGGAAGCAGGAGCATCTCAGTAAGGCACAGCTTGGCATGGCCAATGTCACACCTCAGGTTATCCTCATTAGCCACAGACACATTCACAAAGCCAGCTTTGAAACTGGATCCCTGGTCATTTAGCAGAGAAAGGGCAGGAGACTCACAGCAGTGATATTAAAAAGAAATGAAAACATCCCAGAGAGTGTAGCTCCATGAAATGTAATTCTTTCCTTTGGCAGTGGCTTGTGCAGCTGTGTGTTGCTTTCCTGCTCACATGGATTGACACAGCTCAAGTTTCACTTTGAGTTTCAGCTTCAAACAGCCCATTTCTGGAAAGGGATATTCACCAGAAGCCAGAAGCTCTCCGGCCTGCATATCTAACTACAAAAAAATTATATAAAACTATCAGCAGGTCTGAATTGCCCATGGAATAAGCTCAGCTTTTGTTTGCTTATTTCAGTAATTTATAGTTTGGCCATTTATTAGGTTCTGGTTTAGGTGATAAGGTTCCACCTCAACTCAAACTGTACAAAACTGAGAGGTAGGAATCAAAAGAAACGAATGACATAATAAAACCAAGAAAACAAGCAAGTGAGAAAGATAAACAGAACACATTGATCTGGAGAACATGGAATAAGTTTGCCCAAAACAAACCATGTTCATAGCTGGCTGCATAGGACATGAACAGATTTGGGCTATGAGTTGACTGAGTTGGGAGGTGACCGTTGTTGGGTCCTTCCAGCCCAGGGCATGCTGGGGACTGCCAAGGGGACCGCTTTGTCACTGCTCTCTTCGAACCTCCCGCATGCATAGGATCATCTTACCTGCTATTTCAAGAACATTTAAAAATGTTTCAGGAGAGCAGACCTGAAACTGCTTCACCCCTGGGTCCACGCGTTAATACAGCTGTGAGTTCCCACTGTAGAGTCCCCAGAGCCATTGCTGCTGACGATATGAGTCTGATACAGAAGAGTGGCCTGAAAACTGCCGTTCTTCCGAAGTGGTATTTCCCAAACTGTTGTTTATTAGTGATGGGCAGAAAACAGGAATATCCATGGCTTTAGAGCAAGAGCTATTTTAGGAAGGGCAGTGTTAAAAGAAGGCGAGAGCAGGAATCCATCCTCTAATTCTGGCATACAAAGGCAGTGGTCATTGCAGACCCCATTTCTCCTCAGCTGCGGAGACCTCAGGCTATGTCCATGCCCAGCAGCAGGCAGCTGGCATGTAAGTGGCACTTAGTGGAAAGAAAAACCTTTAGAACGAAAGAAATAGAAAAATTGAATAATTGTAGATGTCAAAAACCAGATACTCAATTAGTGTTTTGTTTGTCAACAAAACCAGTTATCCAAAGGTCCTTTGAATCATGGGTCAGGAGTCCAGAAAAACCTTATTTCAAGCAATATTAAGGATATGTCAGTGAAAAGACTGCCATGTATTTATTTCCTTTCTCTGTAGATACTCTAAGCTGTCAGATCCTGCAAACTGGCTGAACATTAATGCCACAAATGGTCAGATCACTACTGCTGCTGTCCTTGATCGAGAGTCAGACTACATTAAGAATAACGTCTACGAGGCCACATTCTTGGCGGCTGACAACGGTGAGCCCAGGCTTCACATTGTTCATGCTTCAATAAGACTCTAATGTGATGCATTAAGAGAAATGATGCCCTGACAGAGTTGTCAGTATAAGTTATCTTTTTCCCAGGTTTTTATGGTCAAAAATGTGAAAGTGGGACGGGAAATTGCTGGAGTAAATTAAATGTGCACAGTATACGGAGAGTGTTATTAAGGGAAAGGGAGGGCAAATGGAAAATCGATTTGGGGAGTTCAGTGTAGCGGTGTAGCCTGAACTTAAAAAAAATCAAAGGGATGTGCTCTCCAAGGGCTGTCGAACACACTGGTCCTGGTAATCGTCCCAAAGGCACTGATCAGAGCGTTCAGGAAGCCTTCCATCAGGAAACCAGAAATAATTGTAGGGGATGGCAGGAGGGTATTAAAAATAAGTCAATCCATTGAACTGCTGTGGCTTTTATGAAAGGTGTGTCTGTCTGTCATTGGAGCTAATCTCTCTCTGTCAGCTACCATTTCTGAAATGTCCAGCCATCATCAGAGCATCTGGAGGCTGGGATACTTTATTATCAAAGTCGCTGAGGCCAGTACAGATCTTCTCACAGAGAAGTCCTGTTAAGGCTTGCTCTTCTCTACTCATTAAAGATCACACAGTGCTTTTGGTCAAATTAGCACTGTGAACCTCAGCGCTGGCATCACTCAAGGGCAAGCCATCCATTGCTGCTCCCCTGGATTTCTCTTCCTAATTTTGATTAGGAGGAGTTGGTGACTTTTTTTGCTAACCATACCTAAATGTGGCCATGTTGTTATTTCCTTCATCAGTTCCTTCAGGTGGAAAAGACTCTGTGGAGGTCTCAGTAGCTTCCCTGGGAAAGGAGAGGGCCTTCTTCCCCATCTCCCACCCTCGCCTTCCCCCTGCAGGATGCTGAGCCATGCTTCAGTAACAAAATTAAGTGTAGGCTTGGCTGTGAGCACCTAAATGTATTGTTCATCCACTGTAGGTGCTTTCAGGACAGTGTTTGTGTTAGCTTTTGTCATCCCTCAGGCTGAAGGGTGCCATGTCCGTTATGAGCAGATACGATGGTGCTTGCAGGGCTAATGAAAACTTGCTCCCTCTGGGGTTTCAGGCTTCACTTCAGTCATTGCATCCTGGGTCAGAGGGGCAAAGCAAACTCATGGAAGAGTTTCCATGCTGAGTAGCAGTACCAAGAAGCAAATTTTTCCCCTTCTTTGTGCCATCAATGGTAGGACTGTTACCGTCCCACAGCCCATCCAAAGCTTCCCCTCTGTGAAAGCAGCCAGGGCAATGAAATCCAAAATAGTCTCAAGGGGATCTAGCAGCATTCATCTGCAAGAGCCACAGAGCAAAACAGGTCAAATGAGTTGGCAGAGGCTATTCACAAAAGCAGTGGTAGAGCTTGGACCCATCAAACTAATCGTCACCATCTGACCTTGCAAATCCCGGCCGCTTAGTACAACGTGATGTGGAGTTAACCCCTTTCCTTGGCTTCAGTGCTGATGCTGCAGTGCATCAGCACCTCCACATCCATCATTCAGCAGCTCAGAAAGTGAGGACCTAGATAAATCTCTTTATTCTGAAAAATTAATCTATCACTGGTATATTGCAGCCATTAAAATGCACATAAAGCAACACCTTATTTAAAATTCTGTCTAGAGTGCTTAGGATAACAACTAAAGTTTCATCTAGGCTAATAGACTCTTTCCACATTTCTCCCAAGTTCCAGGTTCTCCAGCATCACGTACTCATCAAAGAAAAACTTTGGGTCGGGGGTTTTGGTGTGGATTTTTCCTTCTTTCTTGAAGAAGCAGCAGCATCTTGTTTCCTTGAAGTTCTTTTTGCTGTTTTCAGTGTATGATAAAGAAGTTTAGCCAAATACTCCCTGGACATGCTCTCTTTCTATCCCTGGGCTACAGTGCAGAGACATTCTAAGAAAAGTCTTGGCTGCAATGTAAGGGGACTGTGAAAAAGGCAATGATGGGGAATACAACAGTTAAATTCTGATGTAGCAGGTGCATATTCCTCTTTCTTTTGAAATAGTGTCATTAGTATTTCAATCATCATTTCAGGGAGTGGACTGACTTCTCCACTGGAGTCAGTGGTGCTATGGGAGTCCTCATCTCTTGAGTATAAAGTCCAAGGGTCCTTTGTAGTACATCAGTACCTGCTCTGTCCATGCCCTTGCTCCCTCCACATAAGACAGCTGAAATAATTAGAAATGTTCCGTGGTTTGTAGTACTTGGACACTTAATAAAAATGTTTACTTTTCATTTCTCTTGAGACTGCCCCAGAACTGCACTCAGGAGCACAAAGAACCAAAAATGCCAGGAACCGGTGCCCAACAGTACCCAGTAGCCCAGCAAAACTGCGTTTGTATGTGCGGCAATTGCAGGTTATTTCAGCTGCACACCAGTTAGTGCCTCTTGGGACTGCTAGTTTGCGTGCAGTCTATCTCAGAGGTCGGAGCGTGGGCTTTGCGTTCATCCCAGAAGATACTGGGAAACATATATAGTGAAAAAAGTGAAATCACTTTGCTTGGTCCTGAAAGTCAGTTTTCATGTTCATCCCCAGTATCCTGTCTTTCCAGAAACTTTCAAGGCTGATCAAAGACATTGTTTTAGAGGGAGACCTACCCCTTGCTTACTAGATGAAAGGATAAGATCAGTGATTGAAGAGCTTATGTAGGAACCATGAAGAAGTCATTTTCAGGGCTCCTTCAGAGTTTTCAAGGCTCCCTTGAAAAATGGAACAGAAATGCGAAAGGACTGTAGAAAGGGAAGTCTGTGGAAGCAGAAGCAACATTTGAAAGTCTAGTGGGGAAGTGGTTTGTGTAGCTCTATATCCAGCGCTGGGAGGAAGAGCCAGGACTAAAAACACAAACTTAAAAAAGAATTGCTGGAGTAACGCTGTCTGAGAAGGGAGGTGGTGGGCAGGCCAACATGGAACTGCCAGATGTATGCGTGGGGAGAGAAATTAAAAATACTCTGCCATTTCTGGGTAGGCTGTTCTCTCTTGCCAGGGCAGGTATTACTTTGTGTAAGTGGTCATTAGTCAGACAAATGTGGCTCTTCATCAATAAGGGGCTGGAGGACCAAGAGTGCTGTGCTGTGGCATCCCTGCTGGTTGGGACAAGTGTAGAGAGGATGAAGAACTGTATACTGCTGCTGCCATGGGTTAGTAGCATTACTCAACATGTTTGGTGGTGGTTAGCTCATACCATAGGCTTTGAGCAAGGACCTTTCACCACTAAAGGTAGGGCTGACTGTGGCATGGGCTGGAGAGTTGGGCTTTCTCTGAAGCAGTGTAATAGTCTGCAAATCTAAAAACTGGCTAGCAAGTGCTACAGTAAATGGTGACCAACAGATTACACTACTTTTTTTTTTTCCCCCTCTAAGCCCTCTTCTTCCTCTTGTTAGCTACCTTTCTAATGGTTTTTCCTCTTCAAAACAGCCATTGCCAAAATCTGCACTAGCAGTGTGGCATCACCTCCTTGTATTTTTAGAGTTTGACTAAGGACGTTGCTGTAGGCTACAAATCTGCAGAACTCAACCTCCATGTTCTGCAGGAAGAAAAAAATAGCAACATTAGGAGGCATGGGGAAGTTTTAATAATACCTCTTAAAGCAAGGGACCATGAAAGTGCAGTATGTCCCTAATAAGGTCCAAGGAGGGAGGGTGGAAAATCCTGGTTTATTGAAATTGGAAGGCAAAGAGGAGGCTGGTCCATGGTGTTGTCATTCCCGCTGCTTCTCCAGTGACGGTCATCGGTCCATGTTCGGCTCTGCCTCTCTGGTACAGGTATACCCCCCGCAAGCGGCACTGGCACTCTACAGATCTATCTAATCGACATCAACGATAATGCTCCTGAGCTCCTGCCAAAGGAGGCACAGATCTGTGAAAAGCCAAACCTGAATGTCATCAACATAACAGCCGCGGATGCTGACATCGATCCAAACGTTGGGCCCTTTGTCTTCGAGCTGCCAAGTGTGCCATCTGCGGTGAGGAAGAACTGGACCATAACACGGCTGAATGGTAAATGGGGCAGGCAATCCTGAGGACATTTGGACTCTGATTCACTAATGAGGCCACGTGCGGTTTCAAACTTCCAAACTTTCCTACTTTTTTATCTGATTTTTATTTTTTAAAGCACATTATGGCTGACATTATAGACAAGATATTTAATCAGAAATGATTTGTATCAGACCTGCAGCATAACTCTAAGAGCCTTGGCACTTGGCTTTTTTTAATGCAGTTCATAATTATGAACAGTTATCAGTAGTGAACAGAGTATAAATCATCCATAATGGCCAAGGGGAAAAAAGCTATTATCAGTCTTCCTTATGTTCCAGTGTAATTGTCATAAGCCACAATCAGGATCAATGTTCATTTCTCTGACCATAATTGCATAAAGGCAGCCTTTTAATTTACCATGGAACCAGGAGGGCTAGGTAAGTGTGAAGATTACCAGTATGTGAAGGATTTTTATATTGCAGCATGCAACCACAAATGGCCCTAATTGCTCCTCTTATTAGTAGTTTCTGCAGAGGATGGAAAATGTCATGGAGCCTGAGGGCTGGTTTTGGCTTCAAAGCTGGTCCCTCTTGCTGAGGTCTGGCACCCTCTGCCAGGCGAGGGGCAATGGCTTGTGTCCTCGCAGCTCCTGTACTGCAATGGGGGGGGAACACAAAAAGGATTACCATTGACAGGCGATGAGCTTCCCAAAAAAATCCCAAGGTGGGAGGGGGGGTGGGCAAGCAGAGAGCCTGCACAGTGACCCGGGGAGCATCATTCATGCTTTAGGATTTGCATTTCATGCCATTTCAAACGCATGCAACTGGATTTGCAAACGGCGTCAAGGTAGGTTAGTGCAGCAGTGAAAACACGCAGTATTTTGCAAAACACAGGTGGATTGTTGACCAAACTGTTAGGGCAGAAGTCTGAAGCTGTCCTGCCCTGGGGTGTTGCTGATAGCCTCTTCTTCAGGCCTGGGTAGACTTCTCTGGTGGAGGAGCACTGCCTGTTCAAGTGTGGCTGCAAGGCTCTACCAGAGTGTCTGTCATCCGGCTGTCTGTCTTGGTCTCTCCAGGCGATTACGCCCAGCTTAGTTTACGAATCATGTACCTGGAAGCCGGTGTGTACGATGTGCCGATCATCGTGACGGACTCAGGAAACCCCCCCTTGTACAACACATCCGTCATCAAAGTGAAGGTGTGCCCGTGCGATGAGAATGGCGACTGCACCACCATCGGGGCGGTGGCCGCAGCGGGGCTGGGCACGGGTGCCATCATCGCTATCTTGATCTGCATCATCATTTTACTAAGTAAGTACTGCAGGGAAGTGACACTTCTGGGAGACATCATGTTTCCCATCCTGTTCCCTGTTGTCCCGTTTCTTTACGTGGTATTTTTCAAGAGCTGTGCAAGCTCCGTGCTAAGGACAGAGCCGTGGGCTTTGGGCTGCGGGGGGCGGTTCACACATCTGCATTCAAACCTCCTGCACTGCAGGGTCAGCAAAACGAGCTAGAGCACTCTGTGTGCGATGGACTTTTCTGTCTAATATTTCCAGTAGCTTTATAAACATCATTACACCTGACAACGTCTTGTAGGTAGTGAGTGTGATGTGATTCTCCATATCACTTTTTCTGCAGGAAGAAGTTGAAGGACTTGTCCAAAATCCTGTGGCAGACTCCCCCATAGCTCTCAGGTCCCTGGCTGGCTGTGGATATACTGGTTCCCAGTACCAGATGAACTGGTTATGAGAGTTTGGCTAGACCCTGGCAGAGCCAGTGCATAGCTGTAGTTTTCTGGTTGTTCGAAGGAAAAGAAGAATAGTAGCTACTGCCATTGCTTGTAAAATACAGCAGATTGGCAAATCGTGGTGGATTGTGAGTGTTTTTAGAGGAAGGATCCCCAGTTTGTCAGGAGCGCTGGAGGGGCATTGCAGAGAAGGGCTGCCCATCCCACTGCTCGAGGCAAAGCCGTCCCTTTTGCCCAGAAACGCTGTTAGTCCCAGGCTTTCATGAACATTACCGATAACCATGTGTGCGCACACTTAAAAATAAAAATGATATCATTATAACTTCAAGCAGGAGTTGGCACAGTAGGAATAGATAAAAACGAGCGCTGAAATGAACAATGAGGTAAATATTCATCAAGAAACACAGGATGAAGCCATGGGACTCCCATTAAAGCTAATGGGAGTTATGGTGCTAAATCACATTTAATATTTACCCCCAATGTGTTTAAACAGAGAGCAGACAGAGCGACGTATGCTGCAAATGTCACCTAATGTGGATATGATATGGTACATTAAGAGAATGGGTCATCTCTGGGCAAACATCCACCCTCCTGGGCCAGCGATGGGAATATGTTGTTGTGTAATTGATTTACCATATCAGTCTGGAGAGCGAGCAAGAAAACAGGGTGTTTGTGGCCGTGCCGTCCCCGCTCTTCATCCAGCCCATCTGAGCAGGTGGAACCATCCCCATGTGTTGCCATGATGAACAATTTCTGTCCTTCATTGGATGTGGGGTCCCAGCAGCAGAATGTTTTAGGCTGCTCCCTTCAGCAAGGACATTTGTTACGAGTGCACCGCAGGTGCACACCCAGAAGAAGACGTGGTGTTTGTCAGTCCCACCACGTTTGGTACGCTGGGGCGTGCAGGCGTGATGCTGCCGGTGGGCTAAAAGTTTGCACTGGAAGCCACTGAGGTGGTAAAAAAAACAGGACTTCTTTTAGCTGCTCTTGTATAAATCCAGTGCTAAAATACAATTTAAACAGTTGAAAATCCTATTGACTGAAATTAACTTCAGCTGAAGGACATTTGATTTAAGAGATTCCTCTTTTCATTTTCAGATACATTATCCCATTTTAAATTACGGTTTTTATTACAAAAGCTTATTTTTACATTCATTGTAATTCTAATTGACTTTTTTTTTTATCTTCAAGAGCTGCAAAGCACTGTATCAGTGATGAAAAATGTAATTTGCGATGAGCGGTTTTCCAGTTACATCCTTCCAGTGTTTTGCCTCCTTTCTATCTGTTTTATATCGTGACCTCTGAAAATAGCCTGGAAAAAGGCAGATGCAGGGGGTTTTCTGCTATTTGTCCATTTTAGAGTCAGCAGGTCAAAGTTTGATGGCTTTAAAAGGAAGAAGCAGCAAGGGGACAGATCTGAGGTTGCTCAGGTGAAGGAAGTTTCTGGCTTTACCTTCACTCAAAGGTTTTTTCTTCTTCCCGATACCTGATGTATTAGCTGCTCGAATAACACATTTATAACAGCAATGCAATAAAAAATTGTGAAGGGTGAAGACAATAGATTTCAAGGAAAACTACATGCAGAGTGAAAATGGGTCTAACAGCAGTAATAGCACTTCCCATTTTGCAGAGTGAATAAAAGGAAGGAGAGTGCACTACATCCGCTATTGACACTTTGAAGGTCTTTTTTTTCAAGGTAGCTGTAAAGGCGTTAATGGCACAGTTTTTTCCACAAGTGCATGAAAAAGTAGCATTTAAAAAAAAAAAAAAAAGAAAAAGATAAACCCTGGTAACCATTATAATATTGTCTTTGTGGACTAGGCAGGTATCTTGTTGTGAGAGACTTGAAAAGGAAGAACAAGAAAAGGACTTCAATAGTCTGCTAAATAGCTGAGGTTTTATATTGCAGATAAGAGTTACATTTTCTTTCCTTTTCTTTTTTCTCTCTCTTGAATAGATCTAGGATAAGCATTAAAGAAATGCTGAACTATCTGAAAACAATTCTGTTAGCTGGCAGGCAGGGATGGCAGCCAATTGGCACACAATGGCGGTAATTAGCTGTCCGGTCCTCTTCTGCTCACTTCACTAAATTCCTGTTGGGTATAAACACTTCGGTGCTGGGAGGAGAAATTCAGATCCTCCTAACCACCTCCCCACGCGGTGGGGCTGTGGGCTGGGCTGCCCATCCATGGTCCCAGGGTCTGGTCTCTTCTCTGTCCTTGCCCTCGGTGAAGCGGCACCAAGGCTCCATGAAGACTCAAAGGGAAAGAAAACCCAGTTGCTTGTTCTTCTTATGCAGCTAAAAAACACAAAGAGAGTTTGGGATCTTATGTCCTGCCTGGGTTCACTTGTGTTGGCTGCATTGTTTTGGCACAGTCGAGGATTGACCCAAGTGAAACGAACCTGAGCCACACGTTCCCACCTCCACTGTCCATCCATCTCTCCCTTCTCCTGCAGATTGCCACCGTCACAGCTTTGTGTGTGGCTTGCATGGAGAACAGAAGGGGAAGCAGACACTGGGAGGTGTAACTGCATCAGCTGCCCAGGCTTAATTTCATTTTTGATGACATTATTTGCAGCTACTGAGTATGAGAATGAAAACTAACGTATTAACAGGTTCTTGAAGAAGACACGGCCTGGTTGCTTTATGTTAATGGAGACTGAAGCTACCAGAGCGACTTCCATGCAGTAAGTCACAGGGAGCGCACAGCCTCTGGGACATGGGTGGCCCTTTGAAGGATGAGGTTGTGGAGCGTTCGCTTTGGGTAAAGTTGTTTAACTGGGGGAGAAGTTCTCATGATTCAAGAACTGTTCATCTCTCTCTGAGAAAGATTAGCCACAGCTTGGCACGTAAATGCTGATGCCTGAGGAGGTTGGCTGTGTGCTACCAGATTTGCTCCCCCTTGTTCTGCAAAGCAAGCCCTGCTCTCTGAAAGGATTTCAAATGATCTTAGATCTGCTTTGCAAGTCGATAGCCAAATGCATATGCTCATATCCTGGCTAATGTGATCTTGGAAGTCGAGAAAGCCTCCCTCAGTCACTGAAAAAGAGTATACGTGAGCCCAAATCAGATTACCCAACCCAGTATTACCCACCTTCCCTAAACCAGTTTTGCGTGGCATACTGCAGACAACTGCAAAATGACCACTGCAGCTAGGGCTGGGGACCCGAATGGGCATCGCTGTGTCACGCTGGTGGAGCAGCCACTTGTGCACTTGTGCTGGTCACCTCTACATGTTTCCTTCCCAGCCCCTCTGCAGCTCTCTTTCCTCCACCTTTATTTTATGCCCGTGAATAAAACAAAGGTGGAAATCTAATCCTGAAAATTCAGGATTTAGATCAAATATTTTTGTAAAGTGTCAGTTTTCACACTTTCTGTTTGTGTTTCCTTTGATTGCGTGTTTGACTTCTGATAAACATCAGCTCAATCAGCATTTGTGATGAATCTTAAAGAAATGTTTGTAGTGGAGGGCTGTCACAGTAGTTACAGCTCTCACTGATCTCTCCCTTATAAATTAGAACATGCAATAGGATAAAATTTTATTCCTCTTACTAGCAGCCAGAGAGGTTCTCCATAGTGGAAGGGGGCAGGTGAGGCATTGGGACACGCCACCACGCTCTGACACACGCAGCTTGGCCTCGTGTCGTGTGAGATCCAGGCTCACCCTGCTTCTTCTCCCTTACAGCCATGGTTCTGCTGTTCGTGGTGTGGATGAAACGCCGGGAGAAGGAGCGCCATACCAAGCAGCTCCTGATCGACCCCGAGGACGATGTCAGGGACAATATTCTGAAGTACGACGAAGAGGGAGGTGGAGAGGAAGACCAGGTGAGAAGAGCCTGCAGGTTGTGGCAAAGGAGCAGTTGTGCAATCTGTACTCTGAAAAAGGCAGAAACCACGTTATTTTCACTAAAGTACTTGCAAAAGGTTGCGTTCGCCCTTGTTTATGCCCAGGCAGCTTTATTGTCTTCCCCGGTGTGGCACAGACATCGGTGAGAGCCAGCTTAGGTCCAGCGTGGCACTGGGACACTTCTGTGCAAACAGGGCCATGCAGGGAGGCCAGTGCTACGTGGATTTTGCTACCCCCTAGGCCAGCTTCCTAGGGAGGGACTCTAAATCAATCTGCTGACACTCATGTTCAAACAATATTTCTGCTATTTTGGTCATTAAAATTGTATATTTTACCATTCCCCATTAGAGATCTTCGTAAAACCAGCTAGCAGCCTCCCCCAGACCTCTGGCTGCAGGCACTTTCCTTGGTTTGTTGGACCCTAGAGCTTCTATGAGCTTTCCCTGCATTTACTTAATCGTCTCTAATGTGCCTTTAATTTCTTTTAATTTCTCGTCGTGGTTTGTGAGAAACGTCTAAATACATTTGGGGATTTTCTTTTTCACCGCAAAACGTACAGTGGCAAAGCTTTGCTTGGTGACAGAGCCCTAAGCCACAGTCTGCCTCAACGCGTCAGCTTTTCTGCAGTGGCTTCTTCTTACAGACACCGATGCTGATGTTGCATGAAAACTTCCCTGGCCTGCACTCCTGGGATGTGCTGTCCCTCTGCTACGGATCTATTTCCTCAGCTAAAATAGCAAAGTTTGGCCGTTCGTGTTCAGGTTGCTGGTTTTTTTTATTTCTACCTAACACAAGTAAAGAGCCTGAGACAGTCTCAAATACGAAGTTCATGCAGCTATGTGACTCTGCATCATACAGTGGCTTTATTCTTGCTTGCTTAAATGGACTGCGTGGTTCATGGGTCTGTGCAGAGGCTCCTGTCTTCATGGTTGGTGTCAGTGAGTCCTAAGGACAGTGGTCAAGGCTGGTGGTTAAGGAGAAGAAACCACTGCAGCACGTCCCAGCGTGGAGGTCCCGGTGGCACCCGAAGGCGAGAGCCACCGTGGGGAGCCAAGGCGGGGACTTTGCCCAAAACTCAAGAAGTTCTTATTCAATGGAAAAATCCTTGCAATTAGCATTTCTTTTTCCTTTTCACTGACAAGTTATTTATAAATATTGCTCCTGGAGATTGAATCATCCCCGTCTGAGCGCGAGAGTAGTTTTGCCGGTAGAACAAAGTACTTTTATAAGCATTCAGACTAGCTGAAGTATCTGGTTTCAGGCAACTACACTGTAGGCTTAAATATTTTAGAAAGGATTCGTTAAAAATAACAGCAAAGGAAGAGCAGCAAAACACCATTACCTACATGAATACATTTTTAATGAAATATTACCTGGTTCTTACTCCTTGATAGAAACCTATTCTGTTGGGATTTTTCACAAGCAGAAAGAACATAATTACTTCAAAAGGCCTACATGCATAAATGCAATACACTTTTTAATGTTTTTACTTCTGTACAAATGTAATTGCAATAATATGTCTACCAACACTGTCTTTGCATTACATTATGTATTTCATCAAAAAATTAGGCACATATCTGTGCACATGCAAGCAAAAGCCAATTTTTTTATCCCAAAGATTTAGACATCATGTAAAATATTCAGAAAGTATTTAAATTTTTGATTTAACTTATGTTTTAAGATACACTCTTAGGAGGTCAATTTTATGAGCTACTCAGAGGTCAGGTTCATCTGTAATTTAGATAGTTAGAGGTGCTACATAGCCAGGATAAGATTCGCCATTGAACTTCAGCTGAAATAGGATTAGACCCCTCAACTTGTTTGTATGTTGGGTGAGCAGAACGAAAAGCTCTTGGTTTCACTCAGTGCCTTTCCATTTGTCACAGGATTACGATTTAAGCCAGCTCCAGCAGCCAGAGACCATGGATCACGTGCTGAACAAGACACCTGGAGTCAGAAGGGTGGATGAAAGACCTATTGGTGCTGAACCAAGACCAGTAATCCCACATCCAGGGGATATTGGTGACTTCATTAATGAGGTATGTTCTGTAGGGTGTCGTGCGTCACATCTTAAAAGCTTGAGCAGCCAGCTAGCATCAGCTACGCAATGTCTCCCTGGCTGCATGGACCAAGCAATGTGGTTACTCACACGAGAAGTCTGATGCAGGCCGGGGAATGATTGGCATGAGCAAAGGACGCAGGACTTGGCCTAGTAAAGTCCTAAAAAGCCAAAGTGCAAACAAAAAAGCCCCAGATTTCTGTGGATATCACATGCTTTTCAGCATCCGGGCAGTATAACCTGATCCCGTTCTCCCTTGGATTACTATGAAAATTGCAGTTGCTGTCAGTAAGAACATTGTCTGCACATGGACAACGGAGTGTTGTCCTGGTGGGAGGCGGTGGCAAGGCAGCTGCCTGGGTTGCCTCATGCCAGTTGTGGCTCCGGGGCTGTTAATTATTTCCCCAGCCCCTGCCTTCCTATTAAGCTCTGTTTGGTCTAAAACCTCAAAGAGTTTGCAGAACAGAGAGATTCAACTCAGATCAGAGAGGCTTTCTTTATTTTATGTTAGATTACTGCTCCTTTATCTGCTTGTACAAATATCTTTCCATTTAGTATTTCTTATCTCATTTTTAGTTTTGAGCGATTGAGTGGTTACAAACCAATCAATACATTATTTCCTCCAAGACAAAACACACCATCCATTTCCTAAGTCAGAACAATAAATGTTATAGCAATTTAATTCTATTATTATATCCATTTCCTGCTGTGCTTTTTCTCATTTTCATCATTAAAATTCCCTCTTCCTTTGTTCCTGCCCATCCTTCACACACACATTTACACACATCCACGCATGTGAAGACTCCATGGTCCAGCTGCTGTTCACCACAGTACAACCTACTCCATCTCCCCACGCTGAGACCAGGGTTTGGGAAGGTGTCAGTGCAGAACATTTTGCTTTATTGCAGGTCTATTCCACTAGGCTTTTCCTGACACCGGGCTGCAGCAAAGCAATTCTTTTTCTCCATATCCCAAGGCCATTTCCATGGCCTGCCTACACTGCTGCCCAAAATGCACAGGAACAGGAGCGGCAATGCTTCCCAACCCTTTGCCCGGGATTTCACACCCCCAAATCTCTCCTAATTGCAGAATTTTGCTAGGAGGGGTTTGTTGGAGTTTTTTTCCCCCTAAAGGAATCAAAATCATCACAACTGAAATAATGGCTATTGTTAGGAGAGGAAGGGTGCTGTTCGTTCTTTCATTGGACAAGCTGGAAATCTTAACAGGCAAGCCCAGGAAAGACACGCTGTCCAGAACGGAGAGCTTTCCAGAGGCAGAGCTGATCCTTGGAAACAGCTCCCCTCCTGCTCCATCCGGCTTTTGCAGAGGCGCTGGGAGTTAATGCATTCTCTGCTGGGGGCAGCCGGGAGGGCTCCACCCGGGGTGGGGGGGGGACACACGACATCTGGGCACAGGGAAGCCCCGGGACCCTCGGTTTGTCCCCATCCTCGTTTAGCTTTGCACCACCCTCGTTTAGCTTTGCTGCAGGGATCCCAAGCATCCCACCAGCGCAGACCCCTACCCGAACACCCTTCCTTAGCACCGTCACCGTAAAACCCCGTGGCGGGTATTAACGCCGTGTGTTTGCCCCCCCAAGGGGCTGCGCGCAGCGGACCACGACCCCCCGGCCCCC